GACGAGCGTGAGCTTAGGCACGTCAAGGAGACTTTTTTCGGTAGGAAACGCTTTATTGTGCTCTCGGATACACCAAAGCTTGTACAAGAAAGGCATGCCAAGGAGACGATATACATAGAGTGTTATACGAGGTTTAGCTGTAGGATGAAGGATGGGTATAGTAATGGTAGTGATAAGGTTCCAGAATAAACCCAAATGGATGCTATGGTAATATTGGAAGGTTGCTATGCTTATAGTATACTGTATGAATGGCTGGTTTTTCTTCATGCCGAGAGTTTATGCGAGGAGTGATGAAACATGGATAAGAAGTAATGGATAGTGGGTGTTATGTTGGGTACCAGTAGATACATGATAAGATACTGTATAGAGACGTCCTTGAAAGCTGCTAGCCGACAATAAAACATGGTTGCACGATGCGAGCTACATCTTTGCAAAGTTTTTCCTGAGCACAAACAAATTTCCCATCGCAAAACGCAACCTCATTGTAAGATCCAACCCAATGGCAAACCGGCATGGCGAGATTGTGTGAGATCGGGAGCAAGAACGTAAATACTAAACACGAAAAAAACAAGTAGCTCAAGCATGTCAAACCTTATCTCCAACGCTGTTAATCTCATCCGCAACCAGACCACGGGTGCTGTTAAAGATATTTCGGAAAACGACATCTATAGATGTACCATGGCAGCTAAGGATTTTTACCCCTGGTTCATTCATGAAGAACGCCGCACTTCATGCACATTTTACTATCGTACCAGTGGCAACGCGTTTAAAAAAAACAAAGACTTCTTTCGGTTGTATGGCGCCTTTCAAGATACTGAAAATGACAAATATCGTGCTGGATTCGCTTTATCAGACAAGGATGGCGATGAATTGGAAACCGTGCGTGTAGAGGCTGGTGTTAAGAGAGGCCCTGATCCAACCACCAATTACAATGGGGTAACATCAAAATGCTGAAGCTTGCATATCATGTAAGCAGTTCCTTACCACATTTTTATATAGATTTTTTTGTGCAGCCGTAATGGCGAGCCTACCGGCAAGAATAACCTCCCATGCAACTGCCCTGTGGTGATTAAGGCTAAATGTTTGGAGTCATCACCTGATGTCGTACACATCGAGTATAGATGGAGACATGAAAACCATATCCCAGGATCAGTAGAAGATCTCAAGAAGGCTCCTATTAGTCGTCAGGCGCGTGAAATGATCCACAATATGGTTGACCAAAACATGAACTGGGCCAGTATTCAAAATGTCCTTCGTGTTGATCACAAGTCCCTAAAGGATATTATGGCTGGTGACGGTGATGGTATCCCTGCCATCCTGCGTATTGGTTACCAGCAAGTTTATTACGCTATGCGTTCATGCATGGATAAACGTGCTAAATTCAACAAGAGCGATCTAAAGGCAAGCCTTGAGCAGTGGGGTGACAAGATTGCTAACGAAGATGGGTATTCCATATACCATTCTATGGATGATATCCAGGAAGGCATGTTCTTATTTGCCTTTATGTCATCATGGCAGCTTCAGGTATGAGATACGACTTATGCCTAAATAATGTATTTACACATCCTCTTCCACGTATAGCGACAAAAGAAGATGGTGCAATCGTGTGTATGGATGCCACCCATAAAACTTGCGTCGACGGAGAAAAGAATGATTGCTTCCTCTATACTTTGGTTGTTCGCTCAAGTGCTACAGGAAAGGGTGCTGCTGTGTGCTGGATGATTACCAACTCAAGTACACATCATCCTGTGAAAATGTGGTTGGACTGGTTGAGGGACGACATGGAGTTCACACCTGGTGCGATTATGATCGATAACTCGGATACGGAGATCAAAGCAATCAAGGCTAGCTATGGTGATGATGCCAAGATCTTTTTATGCCATTGGCACATTCTTCGTGCCTGGCGTAAAAATGTTGTGTACAAGGTACGGCCTGAAGCTGGTAACAAGGCAAATCAGGATCAGGTTAAAGAGCATCGAAAGGTTGCCCTTGATCACATGATTGCAATTATGGATGCACGCACCGTTGCCGAATACAATGACTCCCTCCGTAAATTCAAGACATGGGCTTGGAATAACCGCGAGAAGTGGGATTCAGGTGAACTTGTCACCTATTTTGAAGAGGAGTACATTCCGAAGAAGAAAACGTGGTGTCGTGCATATAGAAAGGTAACACATTTTGAATGTAAAAGGCTCGTACACTCATTGGAGTATTATAGGAAAACTATCGTATGGATACCAACAACTACGTGGAAAGCTGGCACCGTTGCTTGAAAAACGTGTATATTCCAACATTGAAAAAAGAGCGTTTAGACGTGCTGGTTTATGTGCTTTGGACAGCGGTGCTTGGAGACTTAATGACTGCACATGTATGTGTATCCAATGGTTTGCAAAAGCGTGTTTGGACTCAATCCGAAAAAGCACGCAAAAAAGAAGCCGATGCTATTCCTGGTAAGATACTTGCATATAGAATGTCCATGCATCTTTTGGTTACTTGGCTGATACCCTATATAATAGAGGAGGAAGCCGAAGATCTGCTCTTGCAAGTTGCAGTGAAGCGGATCCTTGTACGATCTTTTACCAATCCTCGCACCAAATACACCATCATTGTTGACGATAAAAGCAATGTCATGGAACGCTGCTCGTGCCCAGACTACCGAAACAGTAAAGGCATCTGCAAGCACATGTTCCTTGTGTTCAGGCTCGAGATGATCAATCTGCCTCATCAAGCGACACGTATTGATAAGGGTAAAGCACCAGCAAGATCTGTCCCATCGGCTTCGACGCCAAATACAAGAGAGGTTGAATTAAAAGGCGCTATTGCAAAGTGGGTAACATAAAGCACAGGAGGGTAATACCATTTAACAAGGATATTATCCATAGGTTCCATTCAATCATGCAATCCATTAACAATCACGCATCACGTGTCAATGTTCGCAACTACGACGAAACCAAAGCACGATACATCAATCAGGTTAACCAGAAATTGGAGTCTGTTTTCTCTTTGCTCAAAGAACATGATAATGCCAATGCATCCCTTAATGGCCACCAACGCAGAGTATAATCCATACTTGGTATTAGCCCGGACACCCGCCACACATCCTTAGATTTCTTTTTCATATCATATACATTTACTCCAATACATCATATATATCAACCATACGAGAAACGTTACATTCTGGGGACATTCAACGCTATGCTGGAAACTCGCATATACTTGACAACCATTGTTCGTACCCTTGAATACCTCAACTTTACCATCCTCTTGCCCTTGATATCCTGTGATGTACTTCCTTCGATGATGTACACGTGTATAATCCATCCCACAGTCATACTTGTTTCATGTCCATCAGCGTCTCAGTAAACGTGTACTGTATTGTCTGGTAACCGAAAAAAGCCTCCTTGACGTG